TAAAACTGAATAGGTTCTCCACTCTTTTTTTAGCCTTGGGTAACCATGATATGCTGCTAGGTGTCACTCATGGTTTGTGGAAGCCCTAAACGTGTATAATCACTAAAGGGAGAATTGAAAGTAAGTTTCAATTCACAATCGATTTGAAAGAGTTTTAATCGCCCACTGCCTCGCTAAAAGGAACCTAATGGATCGTACACCGTGTAAGGTGGAGATTGAAGAAACAATGGAGATGAGTAAGAATAATTAAATGGTTTAATTATTTATGGCAAGGATTAATTAATATGTTAATTAATCAAACGAATAAGTTCATTAAAGACCTCGGGATAGTTTTGGACCTTAAGGCCCAATGGGCTTCGAACGTCAAGCCCATTGACTTAAGTTGTATGACAATTTAATGAATAAAGATTCACAAAGGCCCAAAAGCCCAAATCCCTAATGTGGCCGGCCATATGTGTTGAATTAGGGTTTTTTGGTTCTTTAGGTCATTTATAAGAAGTGACTATATAAAGAACTTTATAGCCTAAAATTCATTAAGGGTTCTTTTGGAGAAAATTGGTGAGAACATGTCTCTCCTTTTTCTCTCTAAAGAGGCCAAGACCCCTTGGAGGGTGTATCTAGCAATACTACTACTCCAAGGTCACTCATTTCTTCTCCAATCTCTCCTTGGTGAAGAGACTTAGAGGTTCTCAATTTTGGGAACTTGGAGAAACCTATTCTTTCATCCAAATCCATAGATTTAAAATGCAAGGAATGAAGGCCCTCTCTTTGGGTGATTAGCCTTTGCTTATGCAAAGAGGAATCTACAAAGGTATAAATTTCAACTCACTTTGTTTTGAGTTGATTCATGGTTCACCAATCTACTAGGCTTTGAATTTCATGGGTAATGTTTTGTTTTTGAATGCATGCAAGCATGATTCCGCCTTTTAATTGTTAAATGCATGCTATAGATGTTATTCAAATGAACATGTTTTCACAAAATAATCCTTCATTGGAGATAGTAGATATTTGATGAAAATCCTTTTTCTCACGAAAATGGAGTTTTAGGATACCCCACTTGAATCCGGAGGAACCCATTTTCCAATTTTAGAAGAAAACTAAGAAGGCAGAAACGTCCGAGGGTGATAAAAGTGAAGGTTAAAGATGATCTGTTGGCTGGGCAGGAGAAGTTTTGAGCCGAAATTTATAGGAACCTCAGAGAATAGCTCAAAGGTCATGAGAAGAACAAGAGATACAAGATTGCATTCATCCCGTCTAGAAAACACAAGTTCCGAGAGCAGGTATACAGGCATGCGGATATTCAATCAATATTGGCGCCTGGAATTCCAGCCTGGATATTAATTGAAGGGGGCACTGTTTGGGATAAAACTTGAACTTTGGGTTAAAAAGAAAGCCCAAAAGAAGGTTCAGAAGAAGGAAAAGTCCAAGGCCCAGCAGAAGCCCAAGAGAAAGAATAAGCTTGTTTCCCGACCAAGTGCAGATCATTCAAACCACATGCTCACCTACTTAGAGGTCAAGTGGTGTAGACCAGCCAGCTAATCAGCCCAAAAGTACTTTACAATGGCAGTACAAGTAAAAAGTTGATGAGTCACTGCCCTTCAGATGCATTCGGGCAAAATCAATATTGCAGGCAACCAAGCCAAATCGTCTATAAAAGGAGGAAGAAAAATCAGAGACAAGAACACTCAATCAAACAAACAAATACAAGCACAAACTCTGCTCAAACCAGATTTGCCTTCACGAAGCTGTAGTCAGCCCCCAAGCCTTCATCCCTTTCGGGATCAACCTTCATCAAAAAGCCTTTGTAAAAGCTCTGCTACCCTGTTTAAATCTTGTTGTAGTATCGATTCCCTCATATAAACTCATCTTCCAATCTCCCCTTCTAGCATTCAAACCCTTTGTAAATCACAAAGAGAGTAAGTTGCAAGACGATCAGCCTTGCCCGACAAGGTGAAACCTTGCCCGACCTCCTTTGTTTTTTGTTTTCCATTCATATATCTAGTAATATGATGTATATTTCCATCTGCATCCAAGTTATTTCTAGCCAGTGTATGATTAAAAGACTTTTAAGTTCTAACCGCTTGGGCAGACAAGATTGATCAATTAAAAGTCCTTGGTCTCAAGGCATAAAAAGAACCATATGTGGACTTAACCCATCCACGACAATCCTTAATAACAAGAAGTCTGAAGTTACTTAGGGCGCAAGTAATTGGCTTATTCTCTAGTTTTACTTCTGTTATATCATGATTGCTACAGAACGCTTGAGTATAGAATTAACTCTGATAGGAAGTCTCAAGGCCTATACCTAAGGCCCGACAAAGGCACCTATCTGAATTCGTTTTGCTCTGCGGGCTCGGGCGATTAAAGTATAACAGTTGTGATACTTCTGCAACAATGAAACAACCAATATATGTTCAAGTATTTGGTTAGTTTTGACGGGAAGCCTCAAGGCCTACACTTAAGGCCCCACAAAGACACCTTTCATAACAAACTTGGTCTCTTGGACATATGTATACAATAAAACTTAACATCGGTTTTACATCTGTCATGCTAAAGATGGCAGTGGTACGCTTGGGTACTTAAAGTTAATTTTGATTGTGAGCCTCAAGGCCTACACCTAAGGCCCCACAAATGCACCTTTCAGAATTAACTCTGTCCTTCTCTTACAGCCCGCCAATAAGCAGAAGCCCAACAGACAACATCAACCGACGCCAACCTCTCAGGAAGTTGTGTGCTCGTTGGCCAGGAAACGTCCTCACTATATATTCCTTAAGAAGAACACAATCATTATCATAATTCTAGCTCATCATTGGATCGTTTGAGAATTGTATAAATCAACAAAATACAACATTGAGTATGTTCCAATAAGGTGTACAAAAAAAATCTAGCATGTAGGTGACTAGCCTCTGGTGTACAAGGACAAGGCTTTGCTGAACATCCAATCAATAATTTACAAGGATTATATGTTTCCCTGCAAAGATTTTCTTTTGAATAGCTCAAGTCCATGTCAACCCCAAAACGAATAGAAGAAGAAGACGGGAAATCTTTGGTTTCATTGCTTTAAGGTCATATAAAACCTCTGCAAATCTTTGTTTTCACTGATTTATGCGCATACAAATCCTCTACAAATCTCTAGAAGATTGCTATATTATTAGTCCTCGGAAAATGTTAAGGGATGTATAGTGGGAAACAATTATGAGATCATGAACTATGGGGGCTTAATTCACTACTTACTGTTCTTGTTCGGATGCTTTGACTTTGTACACATTTTGTAATGATTAGATCAAAGTAGAATAAGAACAAAAATAAAGAAAAATGTGTGGTACAAATTTTTAAAGGTTTAACTGATACAATGCCCCTGTAAGGCAATCGAATCCCATATTGTTTCTTAGCAGTAATGATATGGTCCCTTGACCCATTTTAGTGTCCTATTTTGCCCCATCACCATTCAGTTTGTCAAAAGTTGATTCAAGTTGTTAAGCATGACACATATGGGACGCCACTGTTTAGAGGAAGAAAAAAATCGAACATGAAACCTCGGATGTATCAGTTTAACCTTGTGAAAAGGCTTATATGAATTTCATTGGACTCGGGTGCAGTGTTGTCTGGTTGGAATACATACATCGATTGCAAATGAAGAAAGCTTCGTTTCCTCCAATCACAGAAAAAGGAGAAATTAGGAAAAGCAACGCCGATGGGTTTTGTTTCAAATTAAATTCATCAAGAAACATTATAAACGTGTTTTTTAAGTGTAGACTTAATAGTTGCCCCTGCCAAGTTAAAAATTTCTTGGATTACCAAAAAGGTCGTCCAAGTTTCTTTTTTTTTTTTTCTTTTTTTTTTTTTTTTTTTTGTCAATCAAAGTAAATTTTATGGAAGAGAAAGCTATAAAGGTAAGGACAATTTAAAAAAGAGAGTTCAAAATGGCCAAGCAAAAGCCTAACTCTATAAAAGAAAATTACAATAAAATGAGAGGTGAGCAGCCCACAGCAACAAACAAACCGAAAAACCTAGACATGAAAATGTAAAACAACCACCTCCAGCAAAACAACTACACTGTCGCAGATCCGTCGCCACCACCCGGAAGAATAAAGCATAGAAAGCAGCTATGAGATAAACTCAGAAGAAACTGAGATCAAGCTCAAGCCAACCTGAGACACAAAATGCTTAGAACAAAAACAGCCGAAATCTAAGTGCATAAAAAGAAAATCCAAATCAACAACCATGGTGGTTTGGGGAAGGGAAAAACTGGGGAGGTGGGGGAGTTAGAGGAAAAGGTGAGAACCAAGAAACAAGGAAAATGGAGGGATAGGGAGGAAGAAAGGGGAAGAAGGAGGAGGGCAAGGAGGGGTGGGCACTCGGCTGCTGCCGATCACAAGCCGAAGCAAGGGGGCGACGGCGAGGAGGCTTTCAGACATTTAGGAGGGAGGGAGGGGGAGAGAGAGAGAGAGTAAAACGGTAGTCCAAGTTAAAAGGGGGATCTTGGCTTACGCAAATGCGCATGGGAATGTAGGATGCCGTCTTTTACAAAATCTAGTTATACGGAATTAGTTACTCGTATTTCCGATTGGTCTTAAAATGGGAGGTGGATTGTCTGCCATCCCATTTCTATATTCTTCCATGCTCTTCTGTGATATGTGGTCACGATTAAGCCACGTCAACATTTTATATAAATTTTTTATAAAAATAATAAAAACAAAAAGTAATAGGAATATAAAATGTTGACGTGACTTAACCGTAACCACACAAACAGAAGAGGATGAGAAGAGTATGTAAATGGGAGGGCAGACAATCCACCTTCCTTAAAATGACCTCAATTGCTTTATTGGTGTCAGAATATGTTTGCGTACATGTGAAGTTCAATAACCACACAAGCTACGCATCACCAAATACATGTGGTTTAGAGTTTCACCACACGTGAATGAAACCTCAACTTCCTTTAGTCCTGGCTAGAATCTAATTCATGTACCAGAAACTTTTTCACGGCAATGATCATAAGATGGTAATAATTGATGCTTTCCTTAACAATTTTACTTCATCAGAAAATTAGCTGATTTTTACACTGAAAACAAAAGGGTCAAAAATGAAATTAGCTAGTGTCTTGGACGAATACGCCTCATATACACAAGTATCTTAAACCAAATTCATTCAATTTACAGATGTGAAAAATTATCCACCGCAATAACCTAAGGCATTAACTTCCCAGCAAAACATTTGTGAGCAAATGCAAATCAATGTGCCATTTGGAGCAGTGATTAGAGCAGTGGGAACCGAAATGTTGCAGAAGCATCATGAAGCATTTCTTGTGCATCAATGACCAGGAGAAACTGGGGCGCTTCCTGGAGGTCCAGGTTGGGTAACTCTTAGTGTCCCTCCAAGCTCCACCGGTACAAGAGGGACAAGAGAATGTAAAACATCTGTTATCAGAGGGCGGTAACTTGGTTCCGGTTGCACACATAACACAGCGACAGCAGCAACCTGTACGTAACGCATTGCAAATGATCAATTATAAGAATTGGGTCCATTCGGTATAGTACTAACAGTCTATCAAAGGAATCAATAGAGTCAAGCAGGAGTCTATCATAGAGCTAATAGAACTGAGCATACTAGATTTTGTATTTCACGAACCTGGTATAAGTGCTTCAAATCCATGGAATCTTTGATCACAGGATCCACAATGTTTGGAAGCTTTGATCTGTCAGTGAGCTGAGGCATGGCCTGTATTAATTTCGAAACATTTGAGTTTTTAGTGGGAATAATGTAAATTAATTTAATGGAGAGCAGTTCAGAGAAAGGCATACCCATGTGACTATAGATTGGCACTGAGTTGGTGCCAGTTTTTCAACAGGCCTTCTTCCTAGTAGAAGCTCCAGAAGCACAACTCCAAAAGCATAGACATCACTCTTATCCGTCAATTTACCTGAAAAATAACACGACCGGTTTTCTTAAGACATTGCCGACATGAAGTAAACAAGTTTAGAGATGTTTTAAATTGTGAGAAGTCTGGTAACGGGAAGCCTGCATAACCGATTATGTGCACTGTTGTGAATGTTATTGTCAAAATGCGAGATTCTAAGTTCTAACATGCATACACCAACCCCATCTATAACCCAAAAACTTTGCTATACCCAGCTAACATATCTTCAACGAGAGTCCAAACTTTTCATAAAATCAACAAGTCATCCAAAAGTGGAACTCCAGCGACTACCTTTATCTTCTCTCATGTTGAATCCACCTAAATATTTTCGCCATCCCTAACTTCGATTGAGCTCAAGTAAAACAAGTCCGGAATTTCCTCTTCCTAACCAGAAATGGAATATGCCCCCCAGTGGCAGAACATGTGCAGCAATGGACACAAGATAGAATAATTTAAAAATAATTATTTAATATCTCTATCAAACTTAGTGCCAATGCAGTTGTCAAGGGTCCGAAGAACAATTAGATTACACCTAGCTAAGCGAAAAGAAAACTAAAATTCAATCAGTAAGATTCAAAGAATACATGTTGCAATTATTACAAGTTTAGTTGGCATACCATCTAAAAGATACTCTGGAGCAACATAACCCAAGGTCCCAGAGAGCTTGACATTCTTACTGTTTTTGGCCCTGTCAGCCACGGCAAGACCAAAATCTGAAAGCTGAAACCAGCCACCATGAGAGAGAGAAAAGCTTCAGTGAAATTAAATGCAAGAGGATAATAATGCATGGAAGCAATTTTTAAATGGAAACTCAATACTTTACAAGGAAAGATGACACACTGCAATAATCATATAACCCTACCTTGGCATTGAAGTTGGCATCTAAAAGAATATTAGATGTTTTCAGCTCTCTATGGATCACTGGAGGGTTGCAATACTCGTGTAGATATTCTAGCCCTCTGTTCAACAGCGGCCAATATGTTAGTGTATATGTAAGAATCAAGAACAAGAAGATCCAACAACTGGGGAAACCCAGCTCACCTTGCTGCATCCAGAGCGATTTTCATTCGCATAGGCCATGTTAATACGGAACCATGAGAGTGTCCTACAACAATTTGATTTACATATAGCACCATTTGATTATCTTTGTTTCTAAGATATAAAAAAAAATCGAAGAATGAAATAACTGTTTACCATGCAATTGACTTTCCACAGATCCATTATGCATCAGTTCGTAAACGATGAACCTTGAGTCACCATTAATACTACAACCCAAAAAGGTAATTATATTTGGATGCTGAATTTTATGCAACAACTCCACCTCATTCTGCAATTCCAAATGGTAATTCAATTACACTCAATAAGTACACCAGATAAACAAAAATCTAGTTTCTTGACTTGAACTAAAATGTCAAACAAGGGTTACCTCATATTCTCTCTCAGCATCCTGACTTGCACAGTCTAGTTTCTTGACTGCAACAAGCAAATTATTATCCAACCAAGCTTTATAAACGCATCCGAATCCACCCTCACCAATAATATTACTTTCATGAAAATCGTTGGTGCCTTTTTCCAGTCCCTTATATTCAATTACTGGAACAGATCCTTTCTTAGAAACCATCCTTGTGGAATTGAATTTACCCACAAATGGACCCAATGCAAGCCCCTTCTCGGCATCTTCGCATACAAACCAAAGAAACAGAACAAAACAAAACACAAAATCTCAGCCAGCAATCCACAAATAAACTAAAACCCACAAATTGAAGCAAGATTTAGGTACCAAAAATGTGTTTGTAAAACCGGAAGTACCTGAGTTGCTCTGAGAACTTTTCTTAGGGGATTTGTGTGGAAATTTTTTGTGGTAAATCCACAAGCACAACAGTGATAAAAGAACTACACCAAGTGCAGTGCAGGTAACAATGAGTGCAATTAGCATTGTCCTATGTGAACCAATTTGATGCCTTTCACTTCCTTCTTCAATTCCTGATACCACATGAAATATACAGATAAGAGAAGTTTGATCAAATGGGCAGAATTTAGCACATTAAAGCAAACAGATTTTGCACCCACATCAACAAAAAAAGGGGTAATTTCAGCAAGAAATTGATAAAATCAGAGAAATTCAACTCAATTATTGCAGTAAATGCACGAATTTTGGTGGGGATTTTTTGAAATTCGAAATTCGAAAATGGAGAACTCGTGACCCAGTTAAAAACCCAGTTGCTAGAAATGAAAAATGAAGAGTCTAGAGAGAGAGAGAGAGAGAACCTGGAGTGAAAGTAGCCATTGATGAAGCAATTGGAGAAATGTGCGAGGAGGGAGGAGCGGATATGGAGGAAAGAAAAGGGCCAGTCGGTGTGGCGCCAACACAAATGGGAGTTGGCTGTACAAGCAGCAAAAGCAAAACTTGAACAAGAAGAAGAAGAAGAAGCTTCATTGTTGTTGTTGTGCTTTTGCTTTTGCTTCACTGCGTTCAATAACGCATGGAGATAGAAATTGTTCCAAGGGAAGAGGAGAGAGAGAGTAGGGATGGTTGGTTCTGTTCTGTTTCTTCCCCTTCTCCTTGTGAATTTTGAATTCTGAGTCTATCTTGTCTGTGTGTGTCTCTCTTTAGCAACTTAGCAAGTAGCCTTATTTTCTTATGAACTTCCTTTTAAAACTATCTTTTCAGTCTGCCAAAGGTAAAAGGGCAAAAAAGGATGCAGATAGACAAAGCTGTGATTTATGCTCTGTTCTGGTGTGGTGGTGTCCGCGGGGACAGTTACACACCAATCATGTGGACACTCAATAAACCATCGTATTTGTCATTTAGTGTCACGTTCTAGTAGTATAATTCTTTATCAAAGGTTTTAGGTTCGACTTTTATTAAAGGTGAATTTGAATCACATTACTGCTAACTCATTGTAAGGCTAAACTCATCCGTTTTTTTAAATAGATAATATCGTTTGTTAAAAAAATTAAAATCACCTTTTTAAAAAAATTAAATTAAATTAAATTAAATTAACATTTTTTGCATGAACAATTAGAAAAATAAAACAAATTGAAGTGAATGTGATCCATAATTTTTCTTTGCTTTTCTTCAACAGTTTAGGACTAATGAGTAGTTCGAGAACTAAGCGAAGAAGATTAACTCTAAAAATTCAAGCAGCGAAACTTATATGAAAATGGGACTCCTTTTGAGGATAGAGCACTAAAAACTAGATATTAGCATCCTAAAATGTCAAAACTCTTTACTATTATCCTCAATTTTATTGAAATTCAATGTCATTTTCACTACTGGTAAGTTGCGTGCATTTATTCTTTCTTTACATGTGACTCTACATACATGATGTCGGGCTGTCACATGCATTGGAAACAAAATTATGAAAATGACACAAAGGAAATTTAGCTGAACTAAATTTGGTTGGATGCGGTGTTTCTTTGAGATTTCATTGTGGAGAATTTTTCATTCTGCCCGAAACACGGGTAGTATACTAATAGTCATTGTACAATGAAGGAAGTCTTATTTTTCAAGTTGTTAACTTTTTAACACAAATATCTAACTACTTGTATAGTAACACATGATACATCTTTCCATATTTCGAACACACTAAAAATTATCTCCAAATTGTGAAAGTCTTATAATTAATGACCTTTTTATCGAGCTTTTGTCTCGTCCTATAATTAATTAGCCTTTGCCTGGTTTGTGGTTTTTTTTTTTTTTTGAACAAACGGTATTATCTGCGCTAAAACAGAGAGGGCAAGTGGCCATTTACTATAGTGATAGAAAAGTGTTGAGCTCTTGCACAACGACGTGTGTCCAAACCCCATTGGTGACTAATATAACATCTAATCTAACAAAATCTATCGTTTAACAAAATAAAAGGGAATGAGTGGGCTAAGCCTCACAATAAGCTAGTAATAATATGGTTCAAATTCGCCTTTGGCGAAAACCGAACTTAAAACCTCTCATTGGAAGTGAAGATGAATACCAATAAGCCGTACTACTAAGTGACTGTTTGTGCTTATTAAGTGCCTCCGTTGCACCGGAAAAAGTTAGTGGAGTGATTGTTCATCACAAAATTGGTACTATCTACACCCTAAATGTGGGGTAAAGTTACATTTTTGAGTTCTAAGAGTAAATTGTAGCTATGGCCTCTTAACTTTAACTCAATTGGAGCAATGGTCTCTCAACTCATCAAAACGTGCAGCTATGGTCCCTCAACTAAAAATTCATTAACATTTGTCCCTCAACTTTAATTCAATTGGAGAAATTGTCCCTTTAACTTTAATCCAATTATAGCAATGGTCCTTCCAACATAACTCATTTTGACAAAAAAATTTACGTAGTTGATGAAAATGACCATAATTACACACTTTGATGAGTTGAATGACCCTAATTATATAAATGGTTATTCCAACATAACTTATTTTAACAAAATTTTGACGAAATTGATGAAAATGACTATAGCTACACATTTTGATAAGTTGAGGGACCAATGGTAATGGATTTTTAGTTAAGAGACCATTGCTCCAATTTGATTAAAATTAAGGGATCGTTGCTACAATTTACTCGAGTTCTAATTACAAAATTGGCAAAACCATCAATGATCTAATATTATATAAACAAAAAAGACTTGTCACGTGTTTGGTGACAAACAGGTAACAAATTGTATTACGTAGCCCCATGTTACCCTTATTTTTCTAGGGGGAACTTCTTTTCTTTTTTCTATTTTTTTATTTTTGTTATATTTTTTTTAATTTATTTGTTTAAAGAAAAAAAAACTAATTGCTAAGGATTAGGGAGACCCACATGTGAGAACTAAAAATAGTCAATTGAAGATCTAAGAGTTGGTAGAGCGTCACACTCAGACCAATTTTATGCATGCAGGAGCTGACAATTTGTAAGATTATTTGCGTGCCTCTAGTTCCAAAGTTCATCACACATGCTCAACTTTTTGTGTAATTTTCTTTGGTTTTTTTGGCATTTTATAGCTTGTCCCCATGTTGTTTTTGTGAAATAATTTAAAAAAAAATGTATGGAGACTAAGATGTTAGTGCATATCGATTGTAATTGGCATTTTTCTAGCCTGAACCTTTACGTGTAAGTTGAGTCTTAGATGTTAGGGTTGGTTCTACTCGAGTTAACGAAGATCAAGCCTAACTGATGATTGTTGTTCTACAGTGACTAAGTCACAATCTCAAGTTTAGGATATTAAAGCTTTTTTTTTTTTTTGTCAAACGATAGATATGTTAGATTAAAAAACTGTGAGGTTCAAATTCATGCCATAGTGTAAGAATAACACTTTTCTCCACTATTGTATCCGGAAACTAATTAAGCTAATTAACTTATTTATATAATTATATTAGCTTTCCTTTTAGGACCTGGATTTTTGTTGTGGGTTAATGGTTGGTCTTCATTTGTTTTATTTAAAGGCTTTGGAATAAAGCCCATTTGACTTGAGGTTTTGGTGTTAGGGTTTACACATGAAATATTATAGGCGTTTTTTAACTTTAATCCTTCAACAAGATTACAATTTAATAAAAATATGGTGTTAGATTGAATATTAATTTTAATCCTTTAATGTGTACTTAATTCAAATTCATATTATATTTTTGTTTTTCTATTTAATAGATAACTTATTTAATGTAATTACATTAAATTTAAAATTTTCTATTATACACATTTTAATTCATTAATTTTATTTAACTTTCTCTAATTAATGTACCTAAACGTCCATATCATAATATATTTTACTAAATTAGTATACTGAAACGCCCGTACCTAAATATATTATAGTGAATTAGTGACACATAAGAAAATATGTAAAAACATAAGTGTACCGAAAATTTCATACCTAACTATATGATACTAAACTAGTGTACTGAAATTTCAGTACCTAAATATATTACACTAAACTAGTGTACCAAAATATTTGTACCTAACCATATTATACTAACCCAGTGTACCGAAATGTTCATACCTAAATATATTGTAATGAATTAGTGGCAAATAAGAAAATATGCAAAAACATAAGTGTACCAAAAAATCTCTACAAAAATATTTTCTTATATAAGATGCTTACCATAATGAGAATTAAAATTTATAATATTTTCATAAAATTTAAATTCATAAAATTATAAATAAAAAAAAAGGCATTGAATACATATGTTGCCATTAAATAGAGTTTAGGGACTAAAATCAATTTTTAATCATGTATAAGACATTTTTCTAAACTTAATCTTATATATGTGTACACTTTTAGAGAGCTCGTATGCATTAGAGAGAAAATACTTTGTGCGTGTTCGTTATGAGGGACTGCCTAACTATTGTCTCATATGTGGCAAGCTAGGGCATGTTACTAGGTGGTGTAAGGATGAGATGCTTGGTGACATGGCTACGAGAGAGGAGACGGAAGCTATGTATGCATTTAAGGGTTTGGATGCAGAATATGACTTGAGGGGGAATTAGCTTAGGGGAAGAAGACAGCAGGCGAGATCAGGGTCTGGGGCCATGCATAGGGGTTCGAGGGGATGGAGTGGGTCGGCTTCTTCATCAACTTGGAGAAGACAGTCTGATGGTACCAATGTTGAGCAACGTGACCGTCAAGCTAGGGTGGCGGAGGAGGAGGAAAGATAAAGGTTGGAACATGAAAAAGATTGTGATGCTGGTCTTATTGGTCCAGGAGGTGTGGTTACGCCAGAGGCGGGGCCGATTGTCTTAATGAATCACCTTGAGAAGGGAGGGGTAGTGGGGGATAGTGATGAGAGCTTGCAGAACAGCCATGCCTTTGATCTCAATGTTCCCATTGTGGTAGAGCAAGAAGGGCTCTCAGATTCTTTGCCAGTGATGGGAAGGGAGGGTGCAAGGTTGGGTGAGGGTCTCTTGTCCCAAGACTCTGATCCTTTTAATTTGGTACTCATCATTAAGGCAATTACCAAAGAATGAACTAAGAGGGGCCATGAAGAGGAAGCTGAGAGTGTGGAATTATATGAGGAAGGATTGCATCATGTGAAGAAGAACCCAAGGTTTGGAATGGACCAAGCGGAGGCCACCTATGAGGGGTATTTGCAATCGCAATGAATATCTTATGTTGGAACTGTCAGGGTATTGGGGGAGACCTGACATTTGACGATCTATTACAGCAGAACAGGCTCCACTCCCTAGAGGTAGTGGCTCTAATGGAAACTAAGAATCATAGTAAACGTTACCGGTATTTAAAAAGAAGTTTCGAAATGGCGTGCACGCATACTATTGAGCCTAGGGGTATTGCAGAAGGTATGTGTTTGTTTTGGAGAGATGCAAATGATGTTGTGCTGATTAAATATGGAGAGTTTTTTTATTGAAGTATTGATTGATGATATGGCTCACCATTGTAAATGGTGACTTGTAGTTGTTTATGTAAGTACTGATGATCACAAGAGGGCACAACAGTTGGGTGTCTTATCTGAACATATTTTTAATTATTCAAAACCATGTCTTTTGATGGGTGACTTTAATGATTTATTATCATATTCGGAAAATGATGGTGGTAATAGGAGGACGGCTGCTAGTATGCGCACATTTCGGAATTTTGTCACAACCACGTGCTTTTTGGATTTGGGGTTTGAGGGCTACCCTTTCACATGGCAGAATAGACATGATGAGGGTTTCATTCAGAAACAAATTGATAGGGCTCTTGCTACAAATGATTGGG